ATAACTTCGGAAATGTACTCAGTAAACATGAATGCAATTCTGATGAATGTTGGCACACCTTCACTCTAAATAGAACAGTTTCTGGGATATGTCAATGGATGACTAAAAAGGTATATATAGTCAGGAGATTTATAATTAAGGCTTCATCAAGTATCCCAACTACTAAACCTCCTGCCACACCATTGACTAAAGCCACCACCACCTCGACAACTCTCCCGACCTGTGGGAATAGAAAAATTATCAAGCATGGTAGCAGTTAGTGAATTTCACTTACAATACATTAGGAGCCATACCCCAAATCGTAATTGTCAGACCTATTGACCATAATGTTTGGGCAAGTTATGATCACACCAAGAAAAAGTGACAGTCAGTTAGTACTGAGGTTTGTACTCCTAGGGGACAATTAGGATATATCTGTGAAAATGCTGTAGTAGAAAATGAAGATTTATGCTTAGATACTGAGAATAGTGTGTGTACCTTTGAAATGCTTCCCCATGCTAAAGTCCAATCACAAGTCTATTACGTAGGAAATGGGTGTGCATGTGTTAGGACCTTTTGTGCTAATTTTACTGTAGATGCTTGTCATGAAGTTGCGAATGGTACCAATATTTGCATATGTAATTTTACTTGAATCACAGGCTGTGACTTTGATTATATTGTTCCAGTGACTACTAGACAACTGATTGAAGCTGATTATATGATTTATCATGATGTGCCAAAATTACAGATAGGAATGAACATTAGTCTTTTCAAAGCAATGCTTAGACATCCTGACATAGAAAAACTGGTCCAGGTAGTGAACAGAACAACTTGGCGAATGCTCTGGCAAGTAGAACATGACACAGAAAACATAAAAACTGTTTTAACCAAAGTGGAAAAGGTGGGAGAACACCACTGGTGGGACATCTTTATGGGATACTCCCCTACAGCATCACAAGTGTTTCACTACTTAATACATCCAGTGATAGTTGTTGTAGCCAGCATGATTCTGCTGATAATCTTCAATATCTGGCTATGGTACAAAGTAAGTACCGCACTTAAAAGGATGCAGATAGTGTGGGCAGTGATGCATACCTATCAAAACCCATTGGAACTTGACGAAGGAATTCGTAAGTTATAAGTAAAAGGGGGGACGGAAACAGGAGGGTAAGCCCAAAAGAGTTAACTAAGAAACTTGGGCCTGCTAACAAGTTACTTACATCCAAAACGATCTGTGCTTGTTCTGTTCTACTTACTGGACCAAAGCTTAACAGAATGTTAGAAGTACATGTAATAGGCCTAGAGGCAATAAATTAGGACGCAGTAAGATGAAATAGACATTTGAATAGGAGAAATAGGCCAGGAGCCAGGGCTTTCTCCAAGCTTGAGTGAGCAGGTCAAGAACAATGGAAAGGAAGAAGGGTCAAACTGAGGAAGATGAGAATAAGCCCCCTCCCCACGGGAGGAAGAGAGGAAGTACCCCCAGAATTGGGGGCCAAGAGAAGCGCCGCCCCAAGCTCCACCTGAGCTCCACCTATACTCCGCCTGTTATCAATATGTATGAATAGGTGTTGTAATCACTTGAATATGCATTTAATCACATCTGAAAATTGTATAAAAACTGCTGATTTTGTGTGAAGCCTTTGAGCAAGTCTTTCCAGCAATAGCTGGCTTGCTCCCAGCACTGCTAATAAATACCTTTGCTGCTCAAAAGATCAATGCTTCCGGGCAGTTCTTTATACCTGATTTTTTGGAATCACCCTCAACCTGAGGGAGAATTATCCCTACCCCTCCAGACCCAACCTTCTCTTGGAGGCGTGGGTTCTCTTCCCTACACTAAACCTACATCAGAGGGAACAGATGACTGGATGAGGCCCTTATCTCAGCACCCGAAAGACTACTCGCTACCTCAACCCACTAGGTATGGCGAACGACGTAGAAGTCCATCCCCACGGCGTGAACGACGTAGAAGCTCATCCCCGCGGCACACTCAGTCCCCACCTCCACATGAGAGATGCAAAGAGGAGGTGGGAGTGGTTCTGCATAAGAGTGGAAGAGTAAAAAGGGAAGTGGAAAAGATTCTACGCAGGACAGATGGACGGGAAATAATGCGAGAAAGTGAAATTACATGATCACTGACCACAAGAGAGATTCGAGATTTATGAAGAGATTACATTCGCTTGCCTGGTGAACAAATCCTCACCTGGCTGGTGCAATGCTGGGACAAGGGGGCTAATAGTCATGTGATTGAAGGTCATGAAGCACAACAATTGGGATCCATTGCCCGAGATCGTGTGATAGAACAAGAAATGGGAAAGGAAAGAACGGTGTCCAGTCTTTGGCTCCGAATCCTCCATGCTGTTAGGGAAAGATACCCATTTAAGGAATATCTGACGAGCTCTCCAAGAAAGTGGAATACTGCGGAAGAAGGCATCCAATACCTACGGGAATTGGCCATGCTGGAGATCATCTATTCTGATCCAGACTATTATGACATCCAAGTTCCGGAGAGTGTTCCCTGCACGCAACCGATGTGGAAAAAGGTAACTAAAGGTGCCCCTAAACCATATACCTACTGCTTGATAATTGCATATCATCCAAAGATGGATGAACCAAGTGTGGACACCATGTGTGCTTGCATATGGAGCATAGCGGAAAATCTGGAAGACTCCTCCGATCCCTTATACTGACCCACCTATGATAGGGAAAGAATGGAGAGAGATCATGAATATTCCAGATATGCGGACGACCCTAGAGACAGGGATGACAGAAGTTACAGAGATTACAGAGAAAGGCCAATGGAACGATCACGGCAGTATTGACGAAGACGACCTCGACCAAGATCTCGATCTTGGTCTTGGTCTCGCTCACAATCTCCGTCATTCACACATCGAAGGAAAGAAAACCCTAAGCGTCGGTCACGTAACCAACTATGGGCATACCTTCGTAGCAAGGGAGAAGACATGAAGAAGTGGGATGGTGAACCCACTTCCAAGCTCGAAGCTAGAGTGAGGGAGCTGAAAAAAAAGACACTGACAAGAAAGTTGTCTACATGGTAGATACAGAATTTTTAGAAAAGAAACTGCAATAGCCGAAACACAAGAAGATGGAGGTCTGCTTCCACGATGACAAGAAGACCTCTAAGAAGCCAAAGTCAAAGTCCGATGATGAATGCTCTGATCAAGACCAGAAGAGGAGCCCTGCCTTTTGCCAGGAGAAGGAAAGGGACCCGGAAGATAATCGGGTTTACTGGGCTGTGTGGGTTCGATGGCCTGGCACATCGGATCTTCAGAGATACCAGGCCTTGATAGATACTGGTGCCCAGTGTACTTTAATGCCATCGGAGCATAAGAGTACAGAGACCGTTTCTATTTCTGGAGTGACAGGAGGGTCCCAAGAGTTGTCAGTAGTAGAGGCTGACATAAACTTGACAGGAGACCAATGGGAAAAGCATTCCATTGTGACGGGCCCAGAAGCCCCTTGCATTCTTGGTATGGACTACCTAAGAAAAGGATACTTCAAGGACCCGAAGGGGTACCAGTGGGCTTTTGGGATAGCCACAGTGATTGAAGAGAAGTCCAAGCAATTGTCTGCCCTTCCTGGCCTCTCAGAAGACCCTTTCGTAGTGGTACTACTGCAAGTCAAAGACCAAGAAGTGCCAATAGCCACTACAACTGTACACAGGCAACAGTATCAGACGAACCAAGATACTGTGATCCCCATCCATAAAATGATTCGAAAGTTGGAGACCCAAGGGGTGATCAGCAGAACACACTCACCCTTCAACAGCCCCATCTGGCCTGTACGTAAGTCTGATGGAGAATGGAGACTGACTGTGGACTATCGTGGCTTAAATGAAGTCACACTGCTGTTGAGTGCCTCTGTGCCAGACCTGTTGGAGCTCCAGTACGAACTGGAGTCCAAGACAGCAAAGTGGTACGCCACCATCGACATTGCCAACGCGTTTTCCTCCATTCCCTTAGTGGCAGAGTGCAGGCCACAGTTTGCTTTCACGTGGAGGGGCGTTCAGTACACCTGGAATCGACTGCCCCAGGGGTGGAAGCACAGTCCCACCATTTACCATGGACTGATTCAGGCCACACTAGAGAAGGGTAAGGCTCCAGAACATATCCAATACATTGATGATATCATTGTATGGGGCGACACAGCAGAAGAAGTTTTCAAGAAAGGACAGAAGATCATCCAGATTCTCCTCGAGGCCAGTTTTGCCATCAAGAAGAGTAAGGTCAAGGGACCTGCCCGAGACATCCAGTTCCTAGGGGTGAAATGGCAAGATGGACGACGCCAGATACCAACAGACGTAATCAACAAGATCATAGCAATGGCTCCACCCACAAACAAGAAAGAGACCCAAGCTTTCCTCGGAGCCATAGGCTTCTGGAGGATGCACATCCCAGAATATAGTCAGATTGTGAGTCCTCTTTACTTTGTGACCCGTAAAAAGAACAATTTCCAATGAGGTCCTGAACAACAGCAAGCTTTCAGGCAGATCAAGCAAGAAATTGCATGTGCCGTGGCTCTTGGACCAGTCAGGACAGGATCAGATGTAAAGAATGTACTCTACACTGCAGCTGGAGATAAAGGTCCCTCATGAAGCCTCTGGCAAAAGGTGCCTGGAGAGACGCGAGGGCGACCACTTGGTTTCTGGAGCTGAAGCTACAGAGATTCTGAGGCCAATTACACCCCTATGGAGAAGGAAATCTTAGCAGCGTATGAAGGCATACGAGCAGCTTCAGAGGTAATTGGTACCGAAGCACAGCTCTTCCTGGCACCTCGATTACCAGTGCTAAGTTGGATGTTCAAAGGGAAGGTGCCCTCTACGCATCATGCCACCGATGCTACGTGGAGCAAGTGCATTGCTTTGATTACGCAACGTGTCCGAATCGGGAACTTGAATCGCCGTGGAATTTTGGAGATTATAACTAATCGACCTGAAGGTGGGAACTTCAGTCTGGCAGATGAAGAAGAAGAGCCAGTGAGTCGAGCTGAAGAAGCTCCAGATGAAGAGATGCACTATGCCCTTTTCACCGATGGTTCCTGCCATTTTGTAGGGAGGAGTCGGAAGTGGAAAGCAGTTGTTTGGAGTCCCACCCGACGAGTGGCGGAAGCCACTGAAGGTAAAGGCAAATTGAGTCAGTTTGTGGAACTCAAAGCTGTCCAATTGGCCCTAGACATCACAGAAAGAGAAGGATGGCCAAGGCTCTACCTATACACCAATTCATGGATGGTAGCCAATGCCCTATGGGGATGGCTAGACCGGTGGGAGAAGGTGAATTGGAGACATAGAGGAAAACCCATCTGGGTTGCTGATCTGTGGCAAGACATGGCTGCCAGAGTGAAGAAACTGAATGTGAGAGTCCGCCATGTAGATGCCCATGTGCCCAAGAGTCGAGCTAATGAAGAACATGATAATAACAGACAGGCAGACCGAGCTGCACAGGTCGAGGTGTCAAAAGTAGACCTAGATTGGCAGCAGAAGGGAGAAGTGTTCCTAGCTCAATGGGCCCATGATGCTTCAGGCCATCAGGGCCGAGATGCCACCTATAGATGGTCATGAGACCGAGGGGTGGATTTAACCATGGACACTATTTCTCAGGTTATCCATGATTGTGAAACCTGCACCGCTATTAAACAGGCTAAGAGACTGAAGCCCCTGTGGTATGGTGGATGCTGGGACAAATATAAATATGGGGAGGCCTGGCAGGTTGATTACATCACATTGCCGCAGGCCCCCCCAAGGTAAACGCTATGTGCTCACCATGGTGGAAACAACCATGGGATGGTTAGAGACATATTTGGTACCACATGCAACCATTCTGGGTCTCAAGAAGCAGATCCTGTGGAGACATGGGACTCCAGAACACATTGAGTCAGACAATGGGACTCATTTCAAGAATAATCTAGCAGCCACTTAGGCGCGGGAGCATGGTATTGAATAGGTATATTACATCCCATATCATGCACCTGCTGCTGGGAAAGTCGAAAGGTGTAATGGACTGTTAAAGACAACTCTGAAGGCACTAGATGGGGGAACTTTCAAAAACTGGGATAAGGACTTAGCCAAGGCCACCTGGTTAGTTAACACTAGAGGCTCTGTCAATCGAGCTGGTCCTGCCCAAGCAGAATCTCTCCACAGGGTAGATGGAGACAAAGTTCCAGCGATCCATCTGAGAGGTATGTTAGGTAAGGCTGTTTGGATTACTCCTCCCTCAGGCCAAGACAAACCCGTTCATGGGATTGTTTTCGCTCAAGGGCCCAGAAATACCTGGTGGGTAATGAGGAAGGATGGAGAGATCCAGTGTGTGCCTCAAGGAAACTTAACCCTGGGGAAAACCTAATTATGTGCTTTGAGTTGTGTTTTGCAGGAAACCAGACACCAGATGAATAAGACCTGAACAAGCTGATACCAGTATCCAATGATGTCCGATGATGAGACAACCCAGACCAATGAACCAGTCCTAAACCCAGAATTGTGACTGTAATCAAGGAGGTAAAGGATCCGAACTGGTGTTGATACTGTTCTTCAACAACAAACGACAGCCTAGGAAAATAAACAAGGACTATATATATATGTATAGATATGCGCGAGATATAAGTGTTATGTAAAGAAATGATATGGAATAAGGGGTGGAGAATGTAGTGGGTTGGTTTTTGGATTTTTTAGGCCTTCCTTAGCAACAGGGGTCAGAAATCTAAGGAAGTATTCCATATTATCCTTTAGCTTAACACAACATATAAATAAGGCAGAGATAAGAGAGTTCGCTCTCTCTTCCAGTGGCTGAAGGTGACAGGTCTTTCCGCAGACGATCTTTGCTTGTATAGGCCAAGGCCTACCTGCTTAGACCTGCCATTATCTCCGGTCCCTTCGGAAGGAGTGGGGAGTTGGTTGGTGCTTCACACGGTTCTGCTGTCTCACTCAGGGAAGTATTTAATTCATTTTTTATTTGTTTGTTTGCTAGCTCTCTATTAGCGGTGTATATTTGGAGGGTATTTGGTTTTTCTGGTTTTTTTTATCCCTGTTTCCCCCTCCCTTTTCCCTTTTTTCCCCTCGGGATCTCCCTATTGTGTGTATAATATATTCAAATTGTATATATAATTGTAAATATATGTAAATATATATTTTTGATATAATCCTACTTTCGTTCGGACTTCCTTCGTTTTTTCTGTGGTTCGTTTGTTTTCCCCACTTGAGAGAGTGGGAGGGGGGAGGAGACAGCTTGGACTTGGCAAGAGAGTCAGGCCAAACTGACACACACACACCAACTCATTATCTCCAGGGTGTTGGTGTATGATGTTGGTGCATTTCAGACAAACTTTCACCACATGGACCACATGCACCAGATTTCATCCAGGTCTTTGGATGCCTGGTTGTGATCCATGATCCATGCCTGGATCCATGTTGTTATAGATCACCTCCACCACAGATAATTCCCTCAGATACCTCGCTCAGTGGTGGTCCATTTGCTTTGGGAATTTTGAAATTCTTCCTTTAGGGGATACCTGACCTTCACACTTGACAGGAGTCACTGCCAAAGACTGACTATCCCCTCTTTGTCAGTTCCTTTGTCAATGGTCTTATCCTTAGCAAGGGATCCCAGCTGCTGGGCTTCCTTATGCTCTAGTTCTTGACTACTGACCCCAATATTCCAGCACTGCAGTAACCAGCTGAGAATTAGCTCACCTGGTTGACAGCTAAAATCTTTTTGTACATCTCACAGCTCACTTAGAGATAAGGACTGGGTGGTTTCTGTCTCATTTATGATTTCAGTCCCCACCTCCTCCTGTTCTTGTGAATGGTCTGCTGCAGAACAGGCTGCCTCTAGATACCTGCCCATATTCTCCCACGTGCCTTGTCACCCATTGTATTCGTGCTTAATTAGATGCTGCTACTTTTGGTCTGTGGTTGGCCAAGCCACCTGTGAGAGTCTATTCTTTTCCTGCCAAGTTATGAGAAAACAAGCACTGATAAATAAGAACTTCGTCCTTGAAGGAAGCATCTTGTATAAACTAGAATTAATTGGTACCTCACTATTGGTTGATGGCCCTCCAAGGGCATTTGAAGGAGAAAGTGAAGAGGAGGAGGAGGATGAAGTAAGCCCCTAGACTCATTTAGGAAAGATCCCCCGAGGTGTAGGACGCAGGTGTGGGGAAATTCCAAGGTACCCACGCATGCGCAGAAGAGATGCCACTTGCATAATGGAGGGAGGGACTGAAGGACTCTAGTTGGGCAGTGCTGGCCACACCTGCCCAGGTAGATGTCACCAATTAATTGTATAAAAACCAGATAGCTCATTCTGGGAGTGGACTCAAGCTTCACATTGAAGGACAATGCTGCCTTTTGCGGGGACGTCTGCCATCTTGTGAGCTTGCCGACACTCCGAGAATGTAGCTTCTGCTATGGGTAATTCTAGGCATTCTGGGGTCGGGAAGACAACTTCTTAAGCAACACTTGAGTGAGTGGGGGGGGGGTTGTACTGAGGGCTTATTTCCCTCCTTTTTCCTCTATCTCGGGTTTTCGTTTTGTTGGTTACTTTTTGTAATAAATATTGTTCTTGTTGAGCTTTCAACAGTGTACTGGTTTCAGTTTCAGCATCCTCCTGGCTACACCCACGACCATACTCTTGTGGAGCCTGGGTTATATTCCTGAATTGCTTGCTGACCTTAGACAAAACTAAAGCAGTATTCCTAAGAAATACCAATAAAAGTATTTTAACTACCCAAGGGTGTTCAAAATACTGAGAAGTTATTGTATTGAGGGATAAAATATCACAGAAGAAGGTAGTGAAGGCGGCATTCTGTATTTCCTCCACAAAAAACCTCTCAGAGGAAGGAGTATAATTGTTAATTGTCTCTATGAGATGGTACCCAAAGTACAGTAATGGCTTCAGTACAGAACCCAAATACCAAGTTAAGCTCAAGGTCAGTGTTTTAAGAACAAATCTGCCAGGCAAGACATCACTAATCACTAATCACTATAGAACACAGCAAACTGCAAAACACAACACCAATCTTTAACAGGTACAGAAAAAAAAAAGAGCATGGCACAGATCAGATAAACTAATACCAAGAACAGATGAATCAATATGTTGCCTAAAAGACCGAGGAGGAAAAAAGACTCCAAGCTGTTGAGAGTATTTTAGACAATGCAGGACATAACATATTGCTTCAGGCCTGCCTGCACAATCCAGCCTACGTGTCAGTCGGTGAGGACCTGTATCCTTGAGCAGATGCGTGCCCTTGAGCAGCAGATATGAGAAAGCTGCTAGAGGTAAACAAGAAGAAAGGATGGTATCCAGGGTGTTGGAGGCCACGGGATGGTGGGGCCTGGAGGTGCTGGAGCGTGTGACTTGGATATGTGGGCCAATAAAGTTATAGATATAGTGTGTGAAGACAGATGTAACAAATAGAGAGTTAGAGCATGTGAACCCTGTAGGACCCTATATAATGTGTGCGATTTTGCAATAAAGTGGAGCATTGACTGTACCTCCATGAGGATGTGTCTTTGACTCTGGAGCTCCTTTTTGCATCTTCTCGCTAAATCTGGCGGCCGAAAGGTGATAATAAGCGCGAGAAGGCAGAAGAATGCGGATAGCCGATTGATCTCCTTGGCGGTGAGACGCAGGCGGAGAAGTGGGAGGCTGAACGGAGCGGGACAGAGGTGTTCGGATAGCGGAGGCCAGTCGGCGTGGACTGAGGTAGGAAGGGTCGCTACCTTCCCCCTGTCATTTGCTGCAAGCATGGAATCGGAATTTGCTGCAGCTAAAAAATTGCTTTTAGGTATCCTCGCTAAGCGAGGGGAAGCAGTAACTGAAAAGGTGTTCAACAAGCTTGTTGCTTGGGCCCGTGATAATGGCTTTTTTAAAGTACCCCCTCTCCTTTTCGCCTTTGAGGAATGGCGGGGTTTAGGAGATACACTTTGGGACTTGACTATCTCAGGGAAAGATAAGCACATCTCAGCATTTGGTCCTCCTTGGCGTACGGTCACAAATACATTAAAAGACATGAGAGCTGAGCCGAAAGTGGCCGTCGCTGTGGTGCAGGCACTCGCTGCCCCTGAGACTCAGCGACCAGTTGTCCCACCACCCCCTCCGCCTGCCGCCACTGCTCCGTCCCCGCCCCCTCCACCCACCAGTGCACTGAAGGCTTTTTTCGGAATGGGGGGGCACAACCGGTGAAGGGAATGTCCGGTGGTAAGCAATGTAAGTCCGTGAGTGAACTGCTTTCTGAGCCAGATGCTGCTTCTAATTCGGATGCTGTCGCACCAGAAAAAGAGGTACTGTCCTCTGCAGGGCCGGAAACTGAAATAACTGCACATCTGGAAATGCAACCGGCTCAGTTACAGAACGGGGAAGTAAGCGGTGGGTCAAACTGCCACCCAAAAACACGCCCACCTCTGCCACCAGAAGCAAAACCTGATCAAATACTGCTTCCTGCTGGCGATGATGCAGACATGCCATCAGACAGTGATGAAGACCTGTCCACTTCTGAAGAAATGCAGGCCGAGTTGAAGAAATTAAAGGAAGAAAGAGATCTCAAGATGTTACGACGCCAAATTGAAAAGATGGAAGAAAAGATCGAAAAATCTATGTCATTATTGGAAAAAAGGCATGACAGCACAGATAATTGCAGCAACCTTTCCACTGAAAACTCGATGCAAAAATTGTTGTCAGCATCCAGGGTGGATCCTCCTTGCTTGTCTAGCCCATCTGCCCTACACTCGGAGCTCCCACCACCCCCGTGTAATCCTGTGACAAAAACAGGACCACAACCAGGTCGTTGGACTGGAATAATTAGAGATGCCATACTAGAAGGGGAATGTCAAGCTGCTGGTGCTATTGCGTGCCCAATAATTGTAGGGGCAAATGGACCACAGTATGAACAGCATGACTGGAAGATTCTACAACAGGCCAAGAAAACAGTCAATGAAAGTGGCATCAAGTCAGATGCAGCTCGAACTTTGGCTTTTCACACCAACAGTCCATCTGATTGCTGGAACCTGGCGAAGTTGCTACTTACCCCATCTCAACAGCTCATCTGGACCCGAGAGTGGCAGCGGCTTGCGGAACTAGAAGCAGGACGACCCTGAGCCCCAAACGACCCTCTGTTTGGTCTTACTGCAGACATGATAACCGGAAGGGGACCTTTGGCAAATATGACCCTCCAGATACAATACCCTCTGGGATTACATCATCTAGCCACTCAACTTGCAAGACAGGCATTCTATGCTGTTCCAGACGCAAATCCAATGCCTGCATTTACGAATATACATCAGGGATTAACTGAAGAATATACCCACTTTATTGATCGATTGATGCAAGCATTGACAGTGCAACAAGATATGGCAGAGGAGTCAAAACAGTCGATGTTTAAGATGTTAGCTTTTGAAAATGCCAATCTTAAAATCAAAGTGATCCTAGCCACGCTTCCCCGAACCGCAGAGGTAGCAGACATGATTGAGATGGCTACCTGTGTGGCACAGACTCAGCAGAGCCGAGTTATGGCAAATGCCTTTGTGGCAGCAATGCAACCAACCACTAGTATGCTGGCTGCTGCAGTACAAAAAATATCTCCACATAAGCATAAGAACAATCCTCAAGGTGTCTGTTACCGATGTGGTGGCAAAGGACATTTTCGAAAGACTTGTCGCGTCTCAGTGTGGTGTGATAATTGCCAAAAGGATAACCATAATAGCTGTATATGCAAAGCTGCAAAAAACGGGAAGCCGAGAGCGAGGGGTCCCCGCGCAAAGACACAAGTTGCAGGCCCAACGTTATCCAACAATTACAGCCCCCAGCCACAAGGGGAAGCTTGGGAATCGATTTGGCAGCAGCAGTAGATGTAACCTTTACGTCGACTGCCGTTCAGAAAATCCCAACTGGAGTGAAAGGACCCATTCATGAGGAACACAGCACTATAGGAGTTCTCCTGATAGGGCGATCATCTGCTGGGACGGCAGGACTTATTGTGTTACCAGGCATAATTGATGCTGATTACACCGGAGAAATATTAATAGCAACCTTTACCCTGTGTCCACCACTCGTTGTTGCGAAAGGAACCCGGATTGCTCAATTACTTATTCATGCGAAACAAAGCATGGGTAACGAGATCACTTCACAACTCCCCCTGCGAGGTGACCAAGGATTTGGCTCCTCTGGTGACACCGTAGTCAACTTGGTCCAAAAGATGCAAATCGACCTATGGTATCATTGCAACTCGTTTGTAAGGCAACGACACACTGTGTTCAAGCAATGATGGACACTGGTGCGGATATATCCAGTTTTAGCAGGAAATGTTGGCCACGAAATTGGCCCTTGACTTCTGCCGTAGATGCAGTACAAGACGTAGGAGGAGGATCAACTCCCCTTCAAGCTGTCTATCCCATACAGGTTCAATTTCCAGAAGGACAGCAGGTCACCCTTCGACCTTATGCCTTTGCCAGGGGACCTGGGAGGTCTAATTGGACGAGATGTTATGACACAGCTGGGAGTTACCCTACATGTTCCTGCCTCTGGACAGGCTTTTTATCCCCTGTCACTGCTGATAAGTCGCCAACTCCAAAAATACAATGGAAAACCAATGAGCCTGTGTGGGTTGAGCAGTGGCCATTGACTGCTGAGCGGTTGGAAATCACCCATCAGTTAGTGGAAGAGCAATTACAAGCAAATCATATCAAACCGTCTCTCAGCCCGTGGAACACGCCCATTTTTGTTATACCCAAGAAATCTGGAAAGTGGCGTTTACTCCATGACTTGCCAAAAGTCAATGATCAAATGTGGACCATGGGTGCGTTGCAACCTGGTATGCCACTGCCCACGATGTTACCTCAAGACTGGAATGTCCTAGTCATTGACTTAAAGGATTGTTTCTTCACAATTCTGCTGCAGCCAGAAGATACAGCCCAGTTTGCATTTACTGTGCCTTCTATTAATAAAGCTGCCCCTGCACAAAGATATGAATGGACTGTTCTCCCACAAGGCATGAAAAATTCTCCCACCATGTGTCAAATGTATGTTGTATGGGCATTGCAGCCTCTTCGATCAGCCATGTCAGAAACACTCATTTATCACTACATGGATGATATCCTCTTGTGTCAGAAGACTCCTTTTGATTCAGACATTCAAACAAAAATCAGTACACACTTATCATCAAAAGGCCTGATCATTGCTCCAGAAAAGGTTCAAAGTACCTCTCCGTGGAAGTACTTAGGGTGGATAGTCCACAGAGCCACCATTAGCCCCCAGAAAGTTACCCTTACCTCATCCATCAAAACCCTAAATGATGTTCAGAAATTTGTCGGGGACTTACAATGGGTGCGTAATATTGTAGGGATTTCCAATGAAGATTTACGACCCCTTATGCACCTCTTACGAGGTACCGATCCCAGTGCCCCAATTCACTGGGAACCGTATCATCAACAGCTCTTACAGAAGCTCAGTGACAAAATCGCCTCCACAAGTGCCGATCGCTGCCTTGAACACGTGCCATTTTGTGTTCTCATTTGTAATCACCGCGAATATCCTTTTGCCATCCTTGCACAGTGCCCTGTTTGGCAAAAAGAAAGAGGGGGAGAGAGGTCACAAGACACTCCCATAGATGCCAAGCAGAGCAAGAAACAGTAGAGAATGGCAATCTTGGAATGGTTATTCCCACCGAGCACAGCACCAAAAAGTATCTGGCAACGATTGGAAGTCATTGGGTACCTTATCCGAAAAGGATGTCAACACTGTAAAGATGTCAGCGGCAGTGAACCAGCACAGATCAGCATACCCATAAAAACTGAAGACTTAGATTGGATGCTACAGAACTCAATCCCGTTGCAGATGGCATTGCTGGACTTCTCTGGTGTCATTAGAAATTATTTACCAAAGGATCAGCGACTACAAGTCGTTTCACAGTATACCTGGATGTCGCGACCAAAAGTCATGATACGACCAGTAGAAGGACATACTGCTTTTACTGATGCAGGGAAGCGCAGTATGACTGCTGTTTGTGTATGGAAAGAACGTGATCAATGGCAAAAACATCTAATACAAGGAAAGAAAGGTGACAGCCTACAAACTCTTGAACTTGCAGCTATAGCATGGGCATTAGTGACATGGAAGGAAGTCCCGTTAAATGTAGTCTCTGACTCGCAGTATGCTGTGGGAGTGGTGCAGAGAATAGAAGATGCTCTGATAAGACCACCGAAGAATCTGCGCCTGGAAGAGTTGTTCAGACAAATCCAGAGATCAATTCAATTAAGAACAGAAACTCGCTGTATCATCCATATCAGAAGCCATCAGAATGAGTTTGGATTAGCAGAAGGAAATGCTATGGCAGACTCACTTGTCAGTCTCTCTGTGCCAGGGTCAGTCTATTCTTTTGTCATGGCTAGAGAGAGTCATGAGCTATTTCATCAGTCAGCTAGGGCCTTGAAAAGACAGTTTGATATTGACTGGACTGATGCCCAGGGTATTGTGAAGGCATGCTCTCAGTGTAGTCAACATGGGGTGGGATTAGGTTTAGGGGTAAATCCAAGAGGAATACAAGCGTGTGAAATTTGGCAAATGGATGTAACACGTACCAGAATTTGGCAGGTTGAAATATGTACACGTGACAATTGACATCTTCTCAAAATTCATATGGGTCACAGCACAAGCTGGGGAGAAAGCAGTACACGTGATTAGGCATTTAACAGCATGTTTTGCAGTTATGGGAATTCCAAAAACTTTAAAGACAGATAATGGGTCAGCATATGTAGGAGGAAAAGTAAGGAGATATTTGCAGAAGTGGGGTGTAAAACATATGATATGGTTTGGAGCTGGCTCCCTGCCAAGTCTCCAAACCTTACCAAAAGAAGTCCGTCCCCCCCCCAAACCAAGGGAGAAGAGGGGAAAAAAAACCAAAAGAACCGAAAACGAGAGAGAGACAAAGCAATATATATAAATATATTTACACTTATATACAATTGAAATATATATACAATTTCACAAGGGAAAGGGGAAGGGAAGAACAAAAACCAAAATAAAAAAAATATATATATATATATATGTATCCCGATCAATAGTCCAAGGTCTATCAACTAAAAGAATTAGCAAAGAATATCTTACTACTCTCCTTGGGACAACGGAGAGTCATGCTGGAGCGACTGTCGGCAGCCTCCGCCTCCCAAGGTCGACAAGGCCTTACCAGGCCTCGCTCCCCAACCCGACAGACTCAACAGCAGGGAACCCACACCTCCAAAGTCACCGGAAGGAAAGAGGGCGAAGGCCTTTCCTCCCTTCTTCTTATACTCCAGCTTATGTAAAAAATCGTAGGGAATACTGGGTAAATCTGGGCACTTCCTTGGTTACAAACTGGTCACCAAGGAAGGCCCAGACCAAACAACCACAACATATCACTGGGATACCACATGTTCCTACTGAACAGGCAATTGTGGAGAGAGCAAACAGAACCCTTAAGGAATATCTTGAGAAACAGAAAGATCCAGAAGTTACAGACCCCCATATTAGGTTAAGTAAGGTACTCTTTACTCCGAATTTTTTAAGTTTAGCTGGGGATGCAGAACAATCTCCTGTAGTAACGCACAACAGCAAAGTTAAGATGTAGGGAACCCCAGAAATTCAAATTCGATATAAAAACCCACAGACAGGGGAATGGAAAGGCCCTAGCCCTTTGTTATTTACAGGTCGGGGTTACAGTTGTGTCTCTACAGATAAAGGACCATTATGGGTACCAAGTAAGTGGACACACCCTGCTGTGACCGCGAAAGAAACTGTTCTCACCAAAGACAACAACGAGTAATCGAAGAACTTGTAAAAACTGTCGCAGAAACAACAGGCATCCCAGGACTGACCAGAGTTTCACCTGACCTTGTCACAGAAAATATATTGTGGCGACAAGGACCTGGGGAGTATGGGAACTAAATAAGGACATTTATGCTTATAGAAATCACGTGTGTAATAGTTGTAG